CTGTTGTTTTATGAATTCAATTAATATCGGATTTTTTTATGCAATATATATTATTAATTGTCTCATTCTCTCTATATAAATTGTGTAAAGTTTTAAACGAGAATAATATTTATATTTCGCGTTTTATGTACGTGTATACGTTATATGATAACTAAAACTTTTAAATATATAAACAAATATTTTTTCCAATCAAGATGTAAAATCAATGATTAAAGGTACCGCAAATATATGTATATATGTATTTTATATATCGCAATTTTCTCTTTCCGATTTATTTACACCGATTCTATATTTCTCGAACAAGTAAATATTTTTCTAATTAGCAATAACGCACACACACACACACACACACAAACCTCGAAATATTTATTTGTACAAGATCTCACTTTCCCATATTCGACGTTAATCAAAAATCTTCTCGTATTATCGAGATTGACCACATTCTAGACTACAAATGACAAATATGACAACATGTACATGTTGATATCTTTAATAATATTCTTATCATAAATTTATATGTGTAAAAATGTGAAAAAAACACACGAATAATCTCTGCGGGAATTCTAAATAATATTGTTAAGTATCACAATATGTTTAAAAAAAATCGATATAAACGCAATATTTAAAAATACAAAAATTCGTATGTAATTCATACTGCGGCAAAAAGTTACGATTTTATGGGTTTGACAGTTTTTTGATGAAACGTATCAGGTATACATCAAACTGCGTGCTTACAAGCAACGCGAGTGATAAATGTCGCGTCGATGAAAGATCAAAGATAAATGAGAGATAGTGTTTGGCTGTCGTTCCAACTCGATCAATAATCTTTCCGCTTATATAAATAGCCGCTATTGATTTTCCACTTTGTAACGTATTCTTCGTTTGTCTTTTCTCATCGGATTGCCGACTTTCGATATTTCAAGGTGAGCACTACGAAAACAAACAATTTGCTTCTTCATTACAGTTATTTGGACCAACACACAAACAAGTTAAACATGAGCTGAGATATATGAATCTATTTGAATGTTGTATCGGGATTAAATCGCGTTTATAATTATTATAATCTCGCGGTTTATCACAAGAAAAAAGCTATTTCCTAAATCTCATTGCATGTACTATTAATTCTTATGTGTTTGTAATACAAATTTTCAAATAATGGAGAATAATAAAAAATAATAAAAGAAGATAAAAGAATATAATAAGATCGATGATAATAAAACAAGATGTATCGATTACATTTATATTGTTATAAAATAAGATTTCAAGTTTTGTCACATCTCTTAAATATAAGAACCATGTCGGAGAATCGCGATACGTTATAAGAAATTTTAATTTCGCAGTTGGCTAAATAGATTCTAATAGTGCAACGCATCGTAAATCTGTATTTCAATGCTGAGTGTCCGTTACAAGTAAATTTATAGCACCAATGTAAAGCATTCTCGACGTGCGTTTCCTGGCTATTATTTCATTTTGTATACCGACATTCTCTTAAATTTACGTTTGACCCTGCAGCACATAATATATAACAAGTTTGGAACATGTCATGTGTAATTCTAATTTCAGAAAATTGTGAGTTACTATATGAATAATATATTACATCATATAAGATTATCATCATCATTATTATTAGCTAATCATCATTAACACTTGAAATTTCTATCGTAGTAAAGATGTCTGATTTTTCGATCGCAGGAAATGGAAGAAACAAACATGTTGTAATCCCATCTTTTTCAAGAAGATTTGCTGATCGAGACATTACAATTGCGAAGATCAAAGAGTAATCAAAAGTCGAGGAAAATTAGAAATGATTTCACAAACTCTTCTCTTTATCTCTCGGTATCTTTTCCTTTTTTGAATATAGTAAAATAGAGATATCTAGAAAAAAATACGCTGTCTCTTACTATTTGAAAAGGTTTGATTACAATTACACGAAATAACCGTAGGAAAATTTTTTAATAAATTTATATTTGAGTATTTAATTATGTAATGAAATATATAAATGTTTCTCTTGCATTCTCCCAACAAATACATTGTTTTCATTTTATTGAGAAAAATAGAGACATATCAATCTTTGTAATATCTTTCTAAATAATTTTCTTTAAAATTATCATTGAAGCCGGATAGTTTTTTGCGGCTTGTAAAATATGTATTTATTATTATAAAAAATATTATATAAAAGAAACATATTTCCAGGTAATACTCTTCTCTTTTCGAGGTAAAAAAGATTTTTTCTCACGTACAATCTTTCGATCGCTTACTAATATCAAGCTCACCGTTTTCCATTCCCGTATCGACACGTCGATTGAAAAGTATTCAGCCGCTGCACATTGGAGCGCTATAGAAAACTCGTTGTTGACTCATGTTCCTTCTCACTGCACACGATTGAGTATTCTCGGGGTGGACAGTTGTCCGACTTTTTGTACTATGTCATGTCGAAAAAACATGACAATATCAATTGCAAGGTAGATAATCGTCACGATTCCATTGAGACGATTTAATGTCTCAAAATCTCATATTTAATAAAAATTTAGAGTAAATAAAAACTAATAATTTTTATGTTGCGTTGAAATATGTATAAATAACGAAAGTAAACATACTGTAATATTAGTATAATAAATAACGAATCTTCTTGCAGTTTAGCTGAATTTTTTTTCACGCGCGCAGGATGAATACATTTCAGCTCTTTTCAAGTTTAGCCGGATTTAAGAGTCAGCAATTACTTTTGTTTACGTTGTCATCTCGTAGCATCGTAAGCTTATTTGTGTTTGTGTGTGTGTGTGTGTGTGTCTCCACAAGTCCCATAAGTTAAAGACTTGGGCGTTCCCAATGGTTTCTCAAGGATGTGCTATTCCCCTCGTCGATTTACGATGACGCGTAAAATCAATTAGATTTCTTCATCTTTTTCCGCCGTTTTTATTCTATCCCGAGGGTAAACGCTTTTTTCCTATCGGAGAGACCACAGCTTCTCTGAAATTTCGCTCAAGTTTTACTTTGTTCGTCATTAGACGGGTTAATTTAATTCCGTACTACTCTAGAGCAACTTTCGCGTAAATTTTGCCGATATAATTTTCCCTCCGGTGTTGAAAGAAATTCTGTGTAATATAAATCTTATTCTAAGATACGAATCATACACACATATCGATTATAGTTTAGATATTAAAAATATTATCATTGGATGTCTAAAAAATTTCTGCTCGCTATACGTATTGGTTTTCTTAGTTTGCTGAAAAATCGAGATCTTGGTTGAGTTTGTTTTTTTAAATTGTGTTGGGTGTATATGGCTACCATGGGAGCAATTTTAATTCTTGTAAACTTTTATGTCCAACCCGTAATTCTCAGGATACCTCTACATTTTACGTAAAACAAATTCACGTGTACATATATATTTAAATCATAAAAGAACACTGGGCTATAACTTTACATTATCGCTAAAAGTATAAAAAAAAAAAATTCATTTTCCTTATACAACAATTCCTAACAATAATATTAACATTATATCATTATTCATGAAGAAATTTATGTAAGAGATATAAAATTTACAACTATATCTTTCATGTTTGTGTCACGTATCTATAAAATATCTTGGAGAAAATTATTCGAGTTTCTTCTTGAGAAGAAAGGACAGATCTGAGACGATCAAGAAACGAAACAGAGAACGCGAGAAAGTTTGACGAAAAGTGCGCCTTGAACAAAACAAGTTACTGCAATCAAGAACTCTTTGTGAAATGTGTCGCTGCAGATATAGAATTCACTCGTACGTACTTTTAACCGAGCAAGCTCCAAGAACTTGATTAGGATATATCGGTGCTTGTCTTTGCTCACGTCTTACTGCTGACTCTTATTATTAGTGACAGAATGCTGATTGATAAGAGACGAATTTCCGATTCACAGCACCGCCAACATTATCAACTATATCTTGGTGTTTTATGCTTTCAATCTCTAATACACGTGATAAATATGTCCAAGAAACAATATTTTTTTTTAAGATATTCTTGCTAAGCCACTGATCTTTCAAATTTGTTTAACATTTCATTATTTTTGCAATCGCAAAAATGTGAATGTTGTAAAATAACTAAACCACAATCTTGTATTGAAAAAAACTAAATATAGAATATTATTGAAAAATATTTCTACAAAGTTATAGCAGAACCGAGATATTGGTCCTTGGCTTTGCACAAGATATCTCGCTTGAGGGCAACGAGTCATATAAGAAATAAATTGCCGGAAAATCAAAATCCAAGTGTCGTGTTGTGACAACCTTTTTGCGTGTTATATAAAAAATTATTTATCATCGTATATTAAAATTTTGACAGCTATCAAAACATACGCTATTATCATATACGTGATTATTAAGCTACTATAGGAATTCAGAAGTTAATTATATGCCTCTATAACGGGAGAATTTAATTAAGAGAATGGTGTTAATTAGGTTACATTTTAACATACAAGAATTAATAGCAAAAACTATTATAGTTTCACTAATATCATTAGTTAATCATGATGCAATAAATTATATTTGGTCTAATTTCTCTCACCGAGGTCAATCTGTGTAGATTAGAAAATTATATGTATATTACACGGAAATTTATATTCATTTACGTACACGATAGACATTTCCGAACGGCAATGGAATCTAACCATCCAGCAAATGTGCGCGGCAGTTAGTTTATCAAACTACATTTTAATTTATATAAAACGTATTACTTTATCAATATCGATAAATATGACATATGACATATGACGTACTCTCTGAGATTTTTAAACTAAAATTTCATCTATTATGGTAAGAAGATTTCACTAAAAAATCAGCCATTATATAACTGATTCTTCTCAGTAAGATTTTATAATTTGCAGTGCTATGTTTGTAAATGAAACCACTGCTTATCAGTGATAATATACTGATTCTATTTAAGAGAGTATATGCTTAAATTTAAATCATACAGTATCAGAAGTGTGTTAGTGACAATTATTTCATTTACAACGATCTTTTTATTTTACAGTACGCCCGTGCTAGAATGCAAACCCGAGAACAGATCGGGCCGAGGTCCCGTGGGACGTCCAGCTCCACTTTTACGATCCCGAACTCTACCAGCCATTGTTGCGCCTGGTCTCAGTATACTTCAAGCTCAAATCGATGCTCGTTACAACGGTAAGTATAAATAGCATTTTTATTCTCTTGCGCCTTTCTTTACACTTTTCGTACAAATACTGTCGTATTATTGTCATCTTGATCCATTTCTTGCGACAATGTTTCCTTTGTAACATATATTTTCTCTCTCGTATTGCCTGCAGCTTTTCCTTCGCGTTTCAAGTACGCAGTTATCTCGAAATATTTCTCTCTTTCATCTTTCCATTGCTGGTAATTCGCTTTTAATGCGCGAATATGATATTGCTCCTTATTGTTGTTCTATCGCATCCTGTATCTTTTTTTCTCGCGATGCGGTAACATGTAGCAGTAAAATTTATATATGTAATTTAGATGTATTTATATAAAGAGAATAGTGAAAATAAATTAATAATCATTATATTTTTTAAATCCATATAAATATATTATAATTTAGTCCTTTGCACGTTGTTGATACATCATCTTTCTCTATCACTGTAAGCATATATTTCATAACCGTAAGTTTCTCGTTACTTGTAAATTTCAAAGTTCATGAGTAGAAATGTGATTACGTTCAAAAACAGTCTCTCACCATTTAATCATAGTCATCTTTCGCTCGCATTCAGCGGTAACGGGGATATCGGTCGTTCCATCTTCCGATACGGACAATACAACTAGCGCGAAGCGTGGAAGCACGGCTTCGCAATACACCAAGCTTCTTATGCCGAGAATATCCTTTACGGATGATACGATAGGTAAGGTATAACCAAGAATTTATTGCATAAGTCATGAAATGAGAGATCTCAAGTTTATATTTGAACCTCAACCCCGCACTTTAGAAGCTGATGTGTTCACATTACTTTTCTATCCTTATACTGCTTCTTTTTAAAATAAATGTTCTATCTTTATCGTTGTGCATGCAAATTATCTAATATAAGTAGATCATCCAATAGAATTGTCACTTTTTCGATTGAGATTATTGAAACGATTTAGATAGCGATTTTTATAGCGTATTAATATCCTCATCATTAAACCCTTATTAATGTAGAGTACAAGCATGCTTGTGTATATAAAGATGACAGAATTATTATGATTATATTATAATCTTATTATTATAATATTAAAATTTTAATTTAAATTATTGCAAAAAAATGTAATGTTTCAAATTAATATAATTTCTTGCAAATTTATCGTTTCCTCACTATTCAAACAATCAGCACTGTCTTTTATTGTTTTCTACGCGGTGTTTACGCAAATCTGTGGAAACGCATTTTTTTAATATTTTGAATTATTATACAGATACCACCCGTCTTATCATCGAAAATCAATATCTTGCGTGTTATTCAAAAACGTAAATTATATTTTATATTCGATTTCTTTTTCCTCTTATGGAGAAAAATATTTCCCGTTCTTGAAATTGTCTAATATTGAAGAAACTTGACTGCATTGCAAGATTGTTGTTCGGTGAACAATATTGCAAAACTCGTTTGCTTGATATTACATGATTTTACGGAGGTGGATTTTACGCCGATATCGACTATCGGGCAATCGAAAATCGTTGATTGTGCGTCTCGTTTGAATTCTTCATGTCGGTTTTCCTCTGTGACAGCACGCCGCGTTTCCGACTCTGGACCAGCGAGCAGAGAATCCTCCAAGGAACACTCGGCAAGAAGCGGCAGGTTGAGTACCTCCACCATCGGCGGCTCGCAACCTCTCAACCGGCTTGCTAGGCTCTTGAACCAGAGACCGAGCTTCACCCCGAGCGATGAAATTCCACGACGGCTCTCTTGGGAGAAGTATGTCACCGAATTATATTAACTGTACTCGCGTACTTTATCGCAATACGTTGTGTATTCACATGTACAAAAATCAAGTCGCAATCGGATGGTTATCCGACTTGATATAGTTTATAATCTGATCGCACATAAAAGCGACTTTAAATTACGGACGGAATTACGGTCTTGATATTCTGACGGCAAGCAAGCAAAAGCTGCATATTTTACATAGAATCCATAAGAAATTTGAATTGAATTAAAGGCAGACTGTATATATGGGGCAAGTGTTGCAAAAGATGCAACGCCGTAAAGAGATATTATTGTAGCTGAAGACCGATAGAATACGAAATTAGATAGAAAACCGATAGACAATCACGTTAGCTTGACGAAACTGCTTAATAATTGTATTCGGCATTTGCTTTGCAAAGTGTTCTCGCCGAATTGAATTTGGGATTGGCCTTTGAATCAGCGAATAAAATGCTAGATAATTATTCGGTTCTTCATTCAGCCACGCAAACAAATAGAAGAAACTCGATTTTTTGTAAACTCATATTTATAGATTCACGAAACATGTTATAGCGATCCTCTTGATTATGTCCACTTTATCACGCTATCCTCATCAGTTGTTTCCCGGCTCGATGAAACGTCCTTTCCATTTTTCGTGTTGCGTGATACGATCGAGCATTTCGCTTAACTACATAAATATTAGGCGGTTAAGAAATATTTTGGTAATGACGTGTATAAATTGCTCATGTCGATCCACTTCTTTCAGAAATGATAATCATCTAGATAAATAATTTTAGAAAAAAAAAGTAGAGTTGTTTTATGACAAATAATTTTTCTCAAACAAATGGCATTATTTGTTATAGAATGACTCTTTTTTTTTTTCTACGATTATTCATACTAAATAAACAGAATACATTCAAATTCGATATAGCAATAATCATAATACATATGTTTTCTAATATATTATTATCGATTCCTTTTTTTTTACTTTTTTTAGCAATTATGATATTAGCATCAGCCGGTTTTTATCACTTTTTCATCGGAATCGATAAACGAAGCGTGGAACAATTTCCTAGTTAGTGATACCATTGTGTCACTATGAATGTGTTCTTATTGATCGTGTCGATGAATAGCGCTCTGATAGATTTCCTGCGCATTATCTCGCTGTATAGGCTGTTTCACGTAAATTAGACAGCAATTTTCTTGAATACATTCCTTTCAAAAACGCAAATTCAATTTTCAGACGAGTGTTGGTTGTTTCAAAAACTCGTTTCAATCCTCGTCGGAATATTCAACTCGAGGCACATTTTCATTATAATTATGCGCAAGGGACTTGAGTTACCGAAATTAGGATCTTGAATTAAAATACAAATGTCACAAAGTTATTATAACAAGCGGTGATGTTTTTACTGCGTTCACGTGGGTCACAATTAAAGTAACAAGCTTTATTTCCACACTAGTTTTCGTCCTAAAAGAAGAATTTTATTCTGGAGATTAAGCGCGGTATCATTCGTAGAGTTATCTTATCTCTTGCTAATGCTATTCGTTCAATTATGATATTTGTTATTAATTTTAAAACACGGATTTTGAATAGTTCTCAGCATTTCTGACACAATCCAAAATCAAATTAATATCTAATATGTGACTAGATAATTTTGGTTTCGAGAAAAAGGTACAATGTGTTATCGAGGCGTAAATATAGATCCTAAGCATCTAGGACATTCTATTGCTAGTAACATCTGGCGCCTTTATTATACTATAAACGCGTATATGCCCTCGACGATATTAAATTACCGTCACCTCGGCGATGGTATAGCTTGACTGGAAAACGCTTAAAACGAGGGAACGCATCCTGCATCAGCAGTTCGTGCGAACCGCACCCATGAAAATGCATCGATCGTTTGATTTACGATCCTCACCACATCAACGCGTCATTTACAAGGTTGAAATTCCATTTCCTTGCTGATATCAAAAAGAATTTGGCATGTACTTTGCTTTTCTCATCATGGATTATGTGAAAATTTTTTCACATAAAATATGATATAAAATGGACATGGAAAATATTCAAAACTGTGCTGTAAATCAAATTTACAGAAAAAAGAAAATAAAGAAAAAAAGTTGCGTGTCCCTCTCTCCCTTTTGTCTAATAAAGTGATATTAATTGACAGACGAGAGTGCAGTACAACGAGTTCCTGCCTGCCAAGAAGCAGTTCGATCGACAGCGTGGCAGAATGGGGTTTGACAGGAGGAATAGGAACTGTCGCCGGAAATAACAGTGTGAGTGCTGGCAACAGTTATGGCCTATTTGTCGAGCATCCACCCTTGAGAAGAAGTCCAAGTCCGCTGTTGGGAGCGAGAAGTGACAGATTGAGTCTAGTGTCACCTAATATCGGCAGAAGAATTAAAGGACACAGAGCGGTCGTAGGTAAGTCATTGTAAATTATTAATCGACAAAATACACCGTTAATTATTAAAATACACCAATATTTTATTCGTTGTCGAGAAATAAAAATCAGCGCTAAGTTTTTGCGTTTGAAATAAGCGTCCTCTCTTTCTTCTCTCTCGTTGTAAATTATAATATATAAATATCTTTAAAGTTTCTAATTAAAACCATTTACGCAAACATTAATAAGAAAGTTAATTAATGAAATACATGGTCTAATCAAAAGGGTACTGCTTGCGCAATTTTCCGCGAATTATTAACAGGGCTGTAGTACAATTTTATGCCTGGACTGTAATATCTGTAAATTAGTTGTAAAAGTTTGCTCAGATATAATACGATATATATATATATATTTCTTACAATAAATTTAGATATACTAGTCGGTAAGAGGGAACTGGTAAGAGCTTCTTATTCATTCAGTGAAGGGAGTAATAAATTTATTTGCAAAGAATGTGATTTAAAAGACGATATTAATAATCGCTTTATTTTGCCGCTAAAAACGATAACAGAAAATCTTGAAAATCAAATTTTATGAAACGTGAAATTTTACTTAAAGAAATAAAAACGCACATTTAAAATATAAATATACATCCCTTTCCCACTTTAATCAATAATATTAATGAAAATTCGGCAGTTTTGCACTGAGACTCAAATTCTGTCAGACTGCTCTGCACGAAATTCGCTCCAGCAGATTTGATTAATCTATATCTGTACAGAGTTTACAACTACCGTGGCAAATTGAGTTCAAGCAGTACGAATCTTCATCGTTTGTAATTTAATATATGTTCAAAATTGCAGCTTCCCGATCCATAATATCATATAATGAAAGAGTTACAAAAGTTATAAATTTCAATTATTCATTGTGTGGCTGAATGTAATTTCACGCGTACAATGATCTAATATACAATATATTTATTGCAGAAAATAATACTTGGGTATTTATATACACAAAGTTGAATTATATTTTTATTGGTACATGCGTGTATGTATAATATAGATATTCGGAAAACGTTTTCTATAAAGTACGAATGGCAGTTGTGCAAAAATATAAAACAGAATATTTATAACATGTTGTCTAAGAGGATATTTTACGATCTCATATTACTTTTTTAATACTTTTAATCTATATAAACTGATTGCAATACGGATCAAATGACGGTACACTAATTGCAGGAAACTCAATACTATACAGCTAAGGTAAACACAACTTGTTTAACGACTTGTAATTGGTAAATTGGCAAAGTTAAAATTTAGATCTTGATTCTTTCGTTCTCCATCATCATTGATAATAATAATGCGCTCAATCGTAATATTTTAAACTTTGCGTCAAATTATAATAAATTTTAGCATGAAAAGAAATCGCGTAATTATTATTTGCAAGATGACATATTCTTTTCTACGACTGTACAAAATATTTCTCATCGAATCTCTCACATGCGAATCTTTCTCATTCTTTCAAAAAATGATATGTTTGACGTTTAATGAGACATATTTATTTATCATCATTGAGATAAAACTGCATAAAAGGTACTACACTTTTGATTTTATTGCCACTTAAATATGTTGTAGGGGAGGTTCTTCTAAGTAATTCCCCGCAAGAAATTTGGGGGGGGACGGCATTAGTTTAGGAGATATAACAAATTAAAATTTTATAATTTTAATGCTTTTTCTATTATAAAGTAAGGAAAAATAAAGTTTATTTACGTTGTATTTGTGTGTAGAGCAGACGTGGAAAAAGTGTTTGTTTATATTTACGGGATAGATTCCTACCTTCAATAAGACTTAGAAATTCATGTAGTCGCATGTTGAAAGCTGTTAGCGAACTGCGAGAAATAATACATTATTGACAAAATATCCATGACCGTGTACCTATTCCGTAAATGTAAACAAACACTTTTTCGTCTGCTCTACAACAAATACAACATACACAAATTTCAATTTTTCTAATATTATTTTATAATACCTGAGAAAAAGCATTAAAACTATGAAAATTCAATTTGTTATATCTCCTAAACCAATGCCGTCCTCCACTTATTTCTTGCGGGGAATTACTCAGAAAAACCTCCCCTATAACATATTTAAGTGGCGATTAAATCGGAGGTGTATTACCTTTTATGCAGTTTTACCTCATCATTATTTATGATAAAAGTATTTTTCGAAAATGTTTTTCTCAAGGGATAAGCTCGTGACAGAAAGTTTCAGCCACCGAAGACCGCTGTGGCTTAAAGTTAAATTGCAGAAATGGTATTGTTATTAGAGTTCTGAATGCTTATATAGTATCAGCTATCAGCATTTGTTATGTCCCACTCGTAATTATCTTGACGAATTATAAAAATTTGCAATTTTTAAGATATTTTCATAAATTCTAAAATAAGTGAGTTTCAAATTCTACAAAATTAATAAAACATTTGCAACGTTTTATTACCGAGCACATTTAAATATAAATATTTATTCATATAATATTTTTTAATAAATATATTTTATAATTCTTTAGTCAAGATAATAAGATATTTTCTTGAATGTGTGTGTGTGTGTACTAAGGAAACCTTTGTGCAAGAGAGGTCCATTCAAGCTTGTAATTGCTTTTTGTAAAAGCTATTATCGCGAAACAATGTTTTAAATAGTATATACCTGAGAAAAATTCTTTAAAATAATTAATGCATAATTTTTGAGATGTCGGATTTTTTTCAAAAGAATAATACTCGACATAAAGCTGGCACAGCCTATAGAATGATGTTCCTGATTACAGCTTTGTATGCGCGATGCTCGGTTAAGCGCCTGAAAGTGATGAAACCAGAAACAGTACACCTTGAGCGAAGTGCGCGATATACCTGGCCTGGACAGGTCTCTCCTCAGCCAATCATTTTCCGCGCTTTATTTAAGTCCACCTGTCTGACGAAGGAAGGAAGGTGTTCGCGAGTTGCGTATCTAAGCGACCAATACAGTTTGCGGCCGCGACCGCTCTCGCGTACTTCGAAACTCTTGCTGAGAAAGATTCGCGATGGTGAACAAAGGACGCGCGAACATCGTTCGTCACACGTGGTAGAGAAGAAACGCGATTTCTCTAAATTGCAATTTAACGATCAGTGGTACTTAATTAATCCGGATTCAACTTTTCCGCGCGATGATACTCCCTACTTCTCCCTCCTGCTCTCTCATCTTCCTAAATCATATATAATTACATGTATAATATAAATTTTAGCATGAAAAGAAATCGCGTAATTATTATTTGCAAGATGACATATTCTTTTCTACGACTGTACAAAATATTTCTCATCGAATCTCTCACATGCGAATCTTTCTCATTCTTTCAAAAAATGATATGTTTGACGTTTAATGAGACATATTTATTTATCATCATTGAGATAAAACTGCATAAAAGGTACTACACTTTTGATTTTATTGCCACTTAAATATGTTGTAGGGGAGGTTCTTCTAAGTAATTCCCCGCAAGAAATTTGGGGGGGGACGGCATTAGTTTAGGAGATATAACAAATTAAAATTTTATAATTTTAATGCTTTTTCTATTATAAAGTAAGGAAAAATAAAGTTTATTTACGTTGTATTTGTGTATAGAGCAGACGTGGAAAAAGTGTTTGTTTATATTTACGGGATAGATTCCTACCTTCAATAAGACTTAGAAATTCATGTAGTCGCATGTTGAAAGCTGTTAGCGAACTGCGAGAAATAATACATTATTGACAAAATATCCATGACCGTGTACCTATTCCGTAAATGTAAACAAACACTTTTTCGTCTGCTCTACAACAAATACAACATACACAAATTTCAATTTTTCTAATATTATTTTATAATACCTGAGAAAAAGCATTAAAACTATGAAAATTCAATTTGTTATATCTCCTAAACCAATGCCGTCCTCCACTTATTTCTTGCGGGGAATTACTCAGAAAACCAATACAGTTTGCGGCCGCGACCGCTCTCGCGTACTTCGAAACTCTTGCTGAGAAAGATTCGCGATGGTGAACAAAGGACGCGCGAACATCGTTCGTCACACGTGGTAGAGAAGAAACGCGATTTCTCTAAATTGCAATTTAACGATCAGTGGTACTTAATTAATCCGGATTCAACTTTTCCGCGCGATGATACTCCCTACTTCTCCCTCCTGCTCTCTCATCTTCCTAAATCATATATAATTACATGTATAATTCACAATCAATATTCACAATAATTCACCACTGTATATAGAGAAAATAATGGAATAAATCTCTCTTCTCTAACAACGATTAACGATACCGGCGTAGGCGGAGTCAATCTTATAAAAGTCAATTGCCCCATATCTAAAGTAATTAGTGATGCAGTGAGTGAAATGATATAATCAACGGGAAAAAATTTTCATACAATCATCGAAAAATCAATGATGCGCTAATAATATTATGATAAATAAGGTTTCTCATAAAAAGAAACTGTATAAAATTAAAGAGAATAAAAATGCTGTGATGACGAATCTTAAGGACTTTCGAATGGCTCGGAGCACTGCGGTGTTTCGAAAGAACAAATTATCGATATTGTTAAACTGTCACGGTAAATCGAGTTAATCGGCGATTATGGAATATTTCGAAAAACATCGAGAGCTTAACGAAATTTGTCGACGAGAGGAGCCGCGCCATCGTTGGATGAAAATGAACGAGGAAGGTGGAATTTGAGGGACACGAGAGATACGGAGGTGGAGGACCTCACGAATGCGTCGTCGGGAATCGTCGCGCGGCATAAACCGGTTTCTGCATTCGGTCCACTTATTTCTTGCGGGGAATTACTCAGAAAAACCTCCCCTATAACATATTTAAGTGGCGATTAAATCGGAGGTGTATTACCTTTTATGCAGTTTTACCTCATCATTATTTATGATAAAAGTATTTTTCGAAAATGTTTTTCTCAAGGGATAAGCTCGTGACAGAAAGTTTCAGCCACCGAAGACCGCTGTGGCTTAAAGTTAAATTGCAGAAATGGTATTGTTATTA